TTGTATCTGGCCAGGAGCGTATCAGGTCAGCAGTTATTGAGCTGCCGATGGTAAGCACTAAAGGCAGTCACCAGAAGTGTATCGCATGTGCACAAGTTGTCGCTGCAAACTTCGACGCCCATGCCGATCATGGATTTCTTCAGTTGCAAACACGGAGGCGGCAGCGCGTCAATGACGCACTTGGGCGCACACTGCGCGGCAACGACTGCTGCCTGCGGGCCGGCTGGAGCCGGGGTATCTACAGTTCTGGTTGGAGCACAGACCCCAGCCAGTGTCCTGGCAACACACGTCAGTGCCACGGCAACCCGTGATGGAGTAGAGAGCTCAGGACTAGACCCAGCCCAGCACAGAGGGCACAAACTCCCATCACCCCCCGCGCGCCCCTTGGGCGCTCCCTGCGGTGTGGAGAATGTGCCACGCCTGCCACGCCCTGGGACCCTGGCACGCATAGCGACCCCACCCCTGCGCACCCCCTGCGGTGTGGAGAATGTGCCACGCCTGCCACGCCTTGGGACCCTGGCACGCATAGCGACCCCACCCCCTGAGCTCCCCTGTGCGGTGTGGAGAATTACCGCGCCTGCCGCGCCCTGGGACCCTGGCGCGCACAGCGACCCCACCCCCTGCGCACCCCCTGCGGTGTGGAGAATGTGCCACGCCTGCCACGCCTCGGGTTCCTGGCGCGCATAGCGACCCCACCCCCTGCGCACCCCCGTGCGGTGTTGAGAATTACCACGCTTGCCGCGCCCTGGGACCCTGGCGCGCACAGCGACCCCACCCCCTGCGCACCCCCTGCGGTGTGGAGAATGTGCCACGCCTGCCACTCCCTGGGACCCTGGCGCGCATAGCGACCCCACCCCCCCACGTGCCGTGCACGCGTTGCGCGCGGGTGGGGGGGAGAACGGAAGAGGAGGAGAGAGAGGAGGGAGCAGGGAGGTTTGAGGAAGACGCGGGTGCGACGCGGGTGGGAAGAAAACCCAAACCCCACGAAACATGTGGGCTTAAACCAGAACCCCACGACACATGTGGGGAAAAACGCCTCGGGCGACGCGCACGCGCAACCACATGTAGCACGTGGCCCCATACGCGCCACCACCCCACTCGAGCATCTCACAAAAATCACTCCGTCGAGGCGGCCAGAACCTGTTCACATCAGCTACGAACCGAGGAACAGAAGCCGCCCCGTGTTTTCCCGACTAACTAGTAGGAGACAACTTCGCCCCCCCCCTTGTTGGTAGAGCCTAGCGAGCCTATATGTATATGCCTTGTTGGCACCGCCCTAACCCAAATGCGCATCGATGTCAAACTAAGAACCACCCCCTGCGCACCTGGTGTCGAGAAAATGCCGCGCCTGCTTTGTCCTGGACGAGAGGCGCGCGTAGCGGACGAGCTCAGGAACACCCCCCTTGCGCACCCTCTCTGGTGTCGAAGTGCCCCGCTTGCTATGCCCTGGTCGAGAGGCGCGCATAGCAGCCCAGCTCAGGATCCCCCCCCCGCGCACCCTTCTGGTGTCGAGAAATTGCAGCGCCTGCTTGGGCAAGAGGCGCGAATAGCGGCCGCGCTCAGGCACCTCCCCCTGCGCACCCCGTCTGGTGTCGAGAAGGTGCCACGCCTGTTATGCCTTGGACGAGAGGCGCGCGTAGCGGCCGCACCCCCTCTGTTGCCAAGAAGGTGCCACGCCTGCTATGCCTTGGACGAGAGGCGCGCGTAGCGGACGAGCTCAGGACACCCCCCCTGCGCACCCTCTCTGGTGTTTAGTAAAAAGTGCCCCGCCTGCTATGCCCTGGACGAGAGGCGAGCGTAGCGGCCGAGTTCAGGAAACACCCCCTGCGCACCCTCTTTGGTGCCAACAAAGTGCCACGCCTGCTATGTCCTGGGCGAGAGGCTCGCATACCGGCCGAGCTCAGGAAGCACCCCTGCGCACCCTCTTTGGTGTCAGCAAAGTGCCACGCCTGCTATGCCCTGGACGAGACACGAGCGTAGCGGCCGAACTCAGGAAGCACCCCCTGCGCACCCTTTCTGGTGTCGAAAAAATGTCACGCCTGCTATGCCCTGGACGAGAGGCGCGCATAGCTGCCGAGCTCACGAAACACCCACTGCGCACCCTTCTCGGTGTTGAGAAAGTGCCACGCCTGCTATGCCCTGGACGAGAGGCGCGCATAGCGGCCGAGCTCGCGAACCACCCCCTGCGCACCCTCCCCGGTGTCGAGAAAGTGCCCCGCCTGCTATGCCCTGGACGATTGGCGCGCGTAGCGGCCCAGCTCGGGAACCACCCTCTGAGCACCTTCCCGCGTGTCGACAAAATGCCTCGCCTGTTTTGCCCCGGACGAGAGGCGCGCGTAGCGGCCGAGTTCGGGAACCACTCCCTGCGCGCCCTCTCTGGTGACGAGAAAGTGCCCCGCCTGTTATGCCCTGGATGGGGGGCGCGCGTGGCGGCCGAGTTCGGGAACCACCCCCTGCGCGCCCTTTTCTGGTGTCAAGAAAGTGGCACGCCTGCCATGCCTTGGACGAGAGGCGCGCGTAGCTGCCGAGCTGAGGAACCACCAACTTCGCATCCTCCGTCGTGTCGACAAAATATACGCCTGCTATGCCCTGGTCGAAAGGCGAGCGTAGCGGCCGAGCTCAGGAAGCACCCCCTTCGCACCCTCCCGCGCGTCGACAAGATGCCCCGCCTGCTATGCCTTGGGCGAGAGGCGCGCATAGCTGTTGAGCTCGGGAACAACCCCCTGCGCACCCTCCCCGGTGCCGGCGAAATGCAACGCCTGCTTTATCCCGGACGGGGGGCGCGCGTAGCGGCCGAGCTCAAGCACCACCCCCTGCGCACCCTCTTTGGTGTCAAGAAAGTGCTACGCCTGCTTTGCCCTGGGTGAGAGGCGCGCGTAGCGGCCGAGCTCAGGAACCACCCCTGCGCACCCCTTCTGTTGTTGACAAAATGCAACACTTGCTAGCGTACGGCACGGTGTGCGCACCTAGGTCGTACGTGCAATGCTTGCCACGCTTTCCGACCCAGTTTGCATGTGGGCGCCAGGCTGGATGTGGACGCGCGTCTCATGAGGGTGCCCCGCATGCTTTGCATGCGTCTTGGTTGCGCGATGCTGTGAACACGAGGCGGCGGAGAGGGAAGAGTGAGACGCGGGTGCGACGCGGCAGGAAAAACACATCACCCCACGAAACATGGGGGAATAATGTGAGCTCAGCTTTCTATGTCGTGCAACCTATGCGGTGCCCTATATGTCGTGCAATCGATGTGGTGCAATCTTTATGGTGCAGTTGATTTTCACAAACGAGCTGACACATTCCATGCTCGCTTACAAATCCCCGCCCACCCACCCGCAACTTGGTTTGCAAAAGCCCACGCGGCGGCGATTGCCTTGACTGCTCGGCGCTGGCTGGTGCATCTCTGCGGCCGCGCTAGCCCGCGCACGCTCGCGCGCACAGCGGTCATCTAGTTTGGCGCGACCGACGCGGCCGCGGTGGCGCTGAACGCTGGGCACTTCCCAGCGGGCACGCCAGTGCGAGTCGATGACTTGGGCGGGCGCGGTATCATGGCGACGCCGACAGCGGTAGACGCGATTATGACAGTAGCGACGATGGTGACGATGGTGGCGATGACGGCGGCAAGACCAATGACGGCGCCGATGCTGATCACGCCCGCCGATAACGATGACGATGTTCCCGCGTTGGCGCGTGGATGGCTCGTGCATGGCGCGTGCATGGCTCGCGTGGTATGATCTGACGCGGATCGCGCCCCTTCCCCCCCAGCACGCGCGCAGGGGCGTTCGAATGAGTTCGACATGCGGCGCGAGAAGCCCGTGTGGCAGAATTTGATGACAATATTGACATACCTATGGCTTTTGCAAGAACCCCAAAGCCGCGAGCGCAGGCTCGTTTGAAAACTGTTGCTGCCAAGCCATGAGTTTAGCAGGCTTTCGGGTCATTTACGGGACTCAAGGTTTGAACGTTTCCGGCATGCGCGCGCAACGGCGCGCGCGCACGCCGATCCATTCGTTGCAAGGTTGTTTTTTTTGCGACCGCGCGTGTTCAAGGGTGTCGAGAGATTGCGACAAGCTCGAGATATGCCCATTTTATAGAAGGTTTTATGGCATGAGAAAACCGATGGTTGTCTTAAGAATTTGCAAGAGTGCGGGCGCAGGTTTTCTTTCAATACCCTCGTTGCGAAACCATGTGTGTTTAGTAGGTTTTCGTGATTTTCGGTTTGACAATCCTTACGAATGTTGCGGTGTCTGAAGGATGTCGGCATGCGCGCTCGACGACGCGC